CATAAGAGCTGCTGCTATCTTTAGTTGATTCCAAGAACACCAATAATATGGGCACTGTTCTGTTCACATAATGATAGATGTATTGTTTTGGTAATACATATATATATATATATTTTTGTTGTATGAGATTTCTCTGTGTTTTTATAGCTAGTTGTTTTGATTTTGGTTTGGTTTTTGTCGAAAATTATGCATAATTTTAAGTTTAGTATCTTATTATTTTTCAAATTGTGTGAAGTATATTCACTCTTCTAGTTCTAGTACGAGGTTGGATAAGTTTCGGAAGTGTGTGAGTTTAGAGAAGAAAGATAAAATGTCAATTATCCCAATGGTTGTCGTGACTCGGTGAAATGCCATATACACCATGATTCAGTCCTTACAAGTTAAAAAATTAAAAGTGTATTTGCAATGTTGGTGGAAGAAAGTGCAGAAAACTTATGGCGCCCATGCCACAATATGATATGTCATATGAGGTGGTTTTATTAATTTTAAATATTAATTCCGACGGATGAAGACTGGAAAAAAGCTATGGAATTTGCTTATTTTTTCAAGAAGTTCTATGATGCTACTGTCAAGCTTAGTGTCACCAATACTCTGACCTCGCAATTTGCCTTTATCTAGTTTGGATGATCAACATATTTGTTTTTTGATTAAAAAATTTTATAATAGGCAATGGGAGATCCAATAAAAAAAATGATCAAGGTTCAGGATATCAAACTATTGAAGAGAGCAGTGAACTTCTCAAACATATGGTTGATGTTTCTAATTGTGGTTAGCGTGATCACGCTGGAAAAGTAAATAAGATAACCATCGAAAGACATATACTGAAACCTTTGAATGAAAAGTTAGGAATCGCCCGGACGTACAATCAATTCATAATTGAGTGAAGTACTTTAAGAAACAATATAACAAGTACAATGAGCTTATGCGACATAACTCTGGCTTTGGATGAGATCTCATATCGCTGCACAAAATAAAATTTAGGAAGATTACTTTAAGGTTAGCTTCTTCTTCT